ACTCATAGCGACCCCTCCGTGGGTTTCCGGGGTGATATCTCTATGGAAGTAGAGTGCCCAACCTTCCTTCCAAGGAGTGGCTGGTGGGTTTGAACCACTAGCCTTCTGGTTAGCAGTCAAGTGCCTTAGGCACTACACTACCAGAGCTCCCTGGACTACTAGAAGAACTAACAAATTGGTCTTGGAAGAAGTACACCAGTTGTTCCTTAGAAATAAGGGTAGCCATACTTCTTCTTACATACTTTGGTCATATTGTCAGAAGGGACTGGTCCCTGGAGAAGGATATCATGCTAGGTAAAGTAGAGAGTCAGCAAAAAAGGGGAAGGCCCTCAATGAGATGGACTAACACAGTGGCTGCAATGATGGGCTCAAGCACAGCAAGGATTGTAAGGACCCAACAGTGTTTCATTTGGAAGACAGCTACTTAGCCAACTAATTGGAAGGGATCCATATTTGTGCCCATTCCAAAGAAAGGTGCTCCAAAAGAATGGAGAAATGATCAAACAATATCATTAATATCACATATAAGCAAAATTTTGCTAAAGATATTACAAAACAGTTGCAGCAGTATATTGACAGGGAACTGACAGAAATTCAAGCTCAATTCAGAAGAGGATGGGCATGAGGGATATCGTTGCTGATGTCAGATGGATATTGGCTGAAAGCAAAGAATATCAGAAAGATGTTTACCTGTGTGTTATTGATTATGCAAAGGCATTCGACTGTGTGGATCATAACAAACTGCAAAGAATGGGAATTCCAGAACACATAATTGTGCATATGAGGATCCTGTACACAGACCAAGAGGCAACTGTTGGAACAGGAAAGGTGTGTGTCAGAGTTGTATCCTTTCACCATACTTATTCAATCTGTACACTAAGCAAATAATATGAGAAGTTGGACTCTATGAAGAACACCACATGAGGATTGGAGCTTCCTCAACAACCTACAATATGAAGATGACACAACCTTGCTTGCTGAAAGTGAAGATGATTGAAGCACTTAGTGGTGAAGATCAAAGACTACAGCCTCAGTATGGGTTATAATATCTCAACAGAGAGAAAACAGAAGTCCTCACAACTGGACCAATTATGCAACATCACAATAAATGGAGAAAACATTGAAGTTGTCAAGGATTTCATTTCACTTGGATCCACAATCAACACCAATGGAAGCAGCATTCAAGAAATCAGATGCTATATTCTAGGCAAATCTGCTGCAAAAGACCTCTTTAAAGTGTTCAAGAGCAAAGATGTCACTTTGAACACTAAGGTGTGTCTGACTCAAGCCATATTTTCAGTCGCCTCATATGCATGTGAAAGCTAGACAGTGAATAAGGAAGACCAGAGAAAATTTCCTGCCTTTGAATTATATTGTTGGTGAAAAATACTGAAAATATGGACTGCCAGAAGACCTAACAAATCAGTCTTGGAAGAAGTACAGCTGCAATGCTTCTTAGAAGTGAGAATGGCCAGACATCGTCTCATGTACTGTGGTTATGTTGTCAGAAGGGACCAGTCCCTGGATAAGGACACCATGTCTGGTAGAGGGTCAGCCAAAAAGGGAAGACCCTCAATGAGATGGATTGACACAGTGGCTGCAACAATGGGCCCAAGCACAGCAAAGACTGCTA